AAGGGATGGCTTCTTTGGGACCCATTCACCAAGAAGTTCTTGGTGAGCAGGGACTGCAAGTTCATGGAGAACTTCATGTACAAGGATTGGAAGGCGGAGAATGAGGCGAAGATAGGCGTGCAGTTTGGGGAGGTGAAGAGTTCCAGTTTGGAGCATGTGGAGCTGCCATTGGAGCTGAGCATCGGCAGCACAACCACGAGGCAATCCTCCCTTGTGAATGGGGGAGAGGAGGCCAACGATGGAGAGGAAGAAGAGGAGGAGGTGCAGCAAGTGAGCGAGCGTGCACCGACACTCCCTTCCCGTACCACGAGTGCTCCACGGATTTGAGCCACACCGCAGCAACGCCAAGGCCTTCAAGTCCCTGCAGCTGAGGAGGAAGGAAGGGGGAAGAGGAGAGTTCAACCCCCTAATAGGCTGACCTATGATGCGCCGGGAAAGCAGGGCAAGAAAGCCCTGGCCGGAGCAGCAATGATGGTCGGAGACGATGAGGAGAGTGACTACGAGGAGTGTGCCTTCGCGTTCTTCTCTCCGGTGGAGATGCCGGGAGAACCAGCAACTCTCAAGGAGGCTTTGGAGAGTAGTGATGCTGAGGAGTGGAAGAAGGCCATGGAGAGTGAGCTGAAGAGCATCGAGGAGAATGACACGTTTGAATTGGTGGAGCTACCGGAGGGGCGTACGGCGATAACGTCCAAGTGGCTCTTCAAAATCAAGTCGGATGCCGACGGCAAGATCGAGCGCTACAAGTCTAGGCTCGTAGCCAAGGGGTACCAGCAGAAGGAGAAGGTGGACTTCAATTTGCTGTTTGCCCCTGTGGTGAAGCCGACGACGCTGCGAACCCTATTCGCGGGAGCCGCCATCAAAGGATGGGTAGTAAAACAAATGGACATCGTAACGGCATTCCTTAACGGCATCCTTGAGGAGGAGATTTTTATGGCGCAGCCAGAGGGGTTTGATGATGGTAGTGGCAGATTGTGGAAGCTGAAGAAGGCCCTCTATGGGCTGAAGCAGGCCCCTAGGCAATGGTACATGAAGCTGCGCAAAGTGTTGGAGGGGGTCGGCTTCACTCCCTCAACGGCCGATCACTCCTTGTTCATGCTTGGCGAGGGGGAGCAGAGGAGCTTCATGGTGGTGTACGTGGACGACATCTTGATCTTCTCACCCTCTCCTGACCTTGTGAAGGAGGTGATGCTGAAGCTGCAAGACAAGTTCAAGTGCAAGTCCCTTGGTGACGTGAACTTCTACCTTGGGCTCCACATCGAACGAGACGTGGAGAAGCGGAGCATGCGAGTGCACCAAGGGAAGTACCTGGAGGCGATGGCTGCCAACTTCGGCCAGAGTGAAGGTCATGTGGCTACTCCCTTTCCCTCTGGGTTCAAGTGTGTGAAGGGGCCAGAGGAGGAGAGCGTTGGAGAAGAGGAGAGGCGCCGATTTCACTTGTTGGTGGGCAGCCTCATGTATGCGGCGGTAAACACCCGACCGGACGTCTCGTTTGCTACCGGGCAGCTGGCTAGGGTTGTGCAGTGCCCTAATGAGGAGCAGGTAGCAGCTGGAATGAGGGTGGCCAAGTATCTTGGCCAAACACCGACCGTTGGGCTGCAATACTCGGCGGCGGCACAAAGGCGCCAAAAGGGCGCGGGTGGTGTTGAACCCGGGCGTTTGTTCCTCACCACCTACTCGGATGCTTCATATGCATCAGAACCAAAGGACATGACAAGTGTGGGAGGGTTCATATGCTGTGTTGTTGGAGGCCCAACTGCTTGGGAGAGCAAGAAGCAGGTTGACCAAGCTTTGAGCTCGGTGGAGTACGAGTACATGGCACTCTTCCGTGCCGTACGGGAGATTGTGTGGCAGTGGCGTTTGTTGGCTGAATTGGGGGAGGAGCAGCAAGGACCTACCCCACTGTACTGTGACAGCCAGGGTGCCATTGCTCTTGCTAAGAACCCTGTGTTGCATGGACCCACGAAGCACATGAGGGTGAAGTGGCATTGGACGAGGAGCATGGTAACCGCGGGTGAAGTTGAGTTGCGCTACGTGAAGACCACGGGGCAGCCGGCTGACATGATGACCAAGAGGCTGGTGGAGCAGCAGTATTGGAAGTGTTGCAAGCTGGCTGGGATGGCTCTGAACTGAGAGAGCAACATATCCTAAGGCCAACAATCCGAGGGGGGGTTTGTTGGTGCAACCCTACGGTTTGCACTCGGCTTGTTGTCCGTGTGCGTGCATGTGTGTGTGTATGGAATGGTATGAGGGCATGGGATAATATATATTTCATGCTTATAAGTGTGTGTGAATGTTGAGTCATGATGTCGAGTGTGTGTATCGAGTCAATAGCGAGTTATCGCTAGACGCGTGTTACGCGGTCGTTTGTGTCTCGCGCGCGGTTTCTATTTTGTCGTGCGCAGTTTCTATTTTGTCCAGTTTCGAACGTTCGGCGTGTCGCAGGTGTGTGCAGCAGACCCATCAAGAACTCAAGGATGAGTTTGTGATGAAGAGCGCGAGCCTTGGTGTCAAGCCTCAAGTGATTTCGAAGCTCGCCAAAAAGGTACACCTCAAGATATTGAAGATAGTTACATCACTTTGTGTAGTGTAACATTTCACTTGGTGTAGGCCCTAGTGCAAGGTAGTTTCGAGACCCTTCGTGGTTGGGGACAGTGTGGCACTGTTCCACATCACTGTGCCTCGGCTCTTGGGGTTTGTAGGAGCTGGGAGTCATTCCCAACTCGTAACTCTTCCTAACTCTTCCTATCTTGTGTTCTAAGACTATAGTGGCTGCCATAGTGCCGTTCGTTCAAAATGACGTTGTGTCGTCAATACTTGGTGAAATCGTGCGATGTAAATTGCCTATTGTAGGCGACAATAGGACGCTCCATATCCAAGTTGAATCATGTCATTTGAAGCTGTGACCAGAACGATATGAACGTTTGAAGCCGCTGTGCAGAAATCCGGCTGTGCACTCTATCTTTTGTTTTAGGCACATTGGAGCCTACTGTGACTATAACAAGTACTAGGAAGAGGGGCGGCGGGAAGTGTGGGGAAGACACGTGCAGTTGGAGAAGGTAACGTCTTGTGAGGACATAACGTGGCGAGAGGCATGATGGTAAAACTATCAGGGCGGGCCGTTGGTGGGGAAGCCAAGGAAGACGCAGCGGAGAGTGCGAGGGGAGAGCTTGCCAGTGGTGGTACCGCAGACAAGCGAGAGCGCGCTGTAGACCCGAAACGCCGATGCATTGCCAACTTCCCCCGTCCAACGCAGTGGAGGCAAGGTCCCTGGCACAGAGACACGGAGTCAGAGGTTGAGCTGATGCACGTCGTATCGTACCACAAACGACCACAGAAAATGGGGAGCAGCTGCATGGATCATGGAGGTGCGAGAAACCTCCATGACCAAGCCAATGCGACGCTCGGCAATCCCATACTGCTGTGAAGAGCTCGGAAGCATGAACGACTAGATAATGCCCTCCGCAAGGCAAAACCCCTCCAGGAGGCTACACGAAAACTCGCCGCCTCTGTCAGAGTGCAGTCGCGTGAACTAGAGGTCCTGCTGAAACCGCGCTCTCAGCTGGCAACGAACAGCGGTGATCCAGGGGATCAAAAAATCAGGGATATCCACCTTGCTCCGCAAAGGGAAGACCGTGGAGTCGTCAACAACCAGGAGGAAGTGGTGCTCCTGGTCCTGTCCACGGACGCGGGCTGGGCCCCACACGTCCACGTAGATTGTCTGTAGAGGAGCAGTAGTCGGAGGAAACGAGGAGTGAGGAGCGGCGCGCTGCCGCCCCTCGACGCAGGGAAGGCTAGGCAGTGCAATAGAGCACGGGAGCTGGGGCATGGAGGGGTGACCAAGACGGTGGTGCTAGAGGAGAGTCTGGTGCGTGAGTAGTCGACACGAACAAGACGCAGCTAACAGACCCGCCGCAGCTACCCGACCCGACGCAACTATTTGTGCAGACTCAATTGGTCGGTGAGTACGGGCCAGAACCGAGGCTCCATGTGAAAGTGGCGATGTGCTCGCCAAGGCGTGAGTCCATTAGATCACCACAAGCTCACCCCTAGGAGTGTCAAAGTGACAAATCGGTCCTTGAGGATAGCGTTACTCACCAAGTTCTTAGAGAACAAGGAGAGGTGGAAACCTGTGAGGGAGCCTGAGGGGGCTGACCTCCAGAGGGGTCAGCCAGACCGACCGGGACAAGTGTGACTGTGGTGCAGTCGTGAAAGAAGCAGCGGGTCGCGCCTGAGTCAAGCGTGAAGGTGTGCAAAGCCTCCACTGAAGCTGCACCTGTGCTACCAGGTTCATAGACACCTAGACTAGTAGGCTCTGCACTACCAGGGATGCATCGCTGACACTGCTGCCGCTGCTGTCCAGTACCTTCAGTAGGATAACCTCCACCGCCAGGACGGCCTTGCTGAATAACCCTCTCACGAAGCTGATGTGGCGAGAGAATCTCCTGGCGACGAGACTGCCGCTGCTGTCTTGTGCCTCCTTGACGCATGAAATCCCAAGCTTCAGGACCAGAGCGGCCTCGCCGAATAACCCATTCGTGAAGCTGCTGTGGCGATAGAGTCTCTGGCTGACGCTGCTGCTGATGTCCTCCCCATAAGTTGCTACGACCGTGATAGTGGCCATGGCAGGCAGAGGGAGTCAGTAGCAGCGGTGCAAGGGCGTCAGTAGCGTCTAATATAGCTGCAGCTGTAGCAGTAGTAGTACTCGTTGTGGCTGCAATAGCAGAAGCGACTGTTGGAGTGGCTGTGGAGGCCAGTAGGGTGCGTGGGCAGCAGGGCACGGGCTAGCAGCAGGCACACGGGCAGCAAGGCGCGCAGGCGCGGGCAGCGGAGGCACGCGAGCGGCAGGTCAACGCAAGGCAGACGGCCTGCAAGGCAGGGCGCCACGCAGGCTGCGGGCGGGCTACAGGGCACGGCGGCACGTGGGCTGCAGGGCAAGGCGGCGCGTGAGCTGCAGGGCAGGACGGCGTGCGGGTCGCAGGGCAGGGCAACGCACGGGCCGCATGGGAGGCCGACGTGCGAGCCGCAGGGCAAGGCGACGCGCGACTGCAGGGCAGGTCGGCGCGCGGGCTGCGGGGCAGGGCGGCGCGCGAGCTGCAGGACAGTGCAGCGCGCGGGCCGCTGGGCAGGGCGACGTGCGGGCCGCAAGGCAGGGCGACGCGCGGGCTGCAGGGCAGGGCGACGCGCGGGCTGCAGGGCAGGGCAGCGCGCGGGCTGCAGGGCAGGGCGGCGCGCGGGCTGCAGGGCAGGGCGACGCGCAGGTGGCAGGGCATGGTGACGCGCGGGCCGCAAGGCAGGGCAACGCGCGGGCTGCAAGGCAGGGCGGCACGCGGGCGGCAGGACATGGTGACGCGCGGGCCGCAAGGCAGGGCGACGGGTGGGCTGCAGGGCAGGGCGGCGCGCGGGCTGCAGGGCAGGGCGGCGCGCGGGGTGCGGGGCAGGGCGGTGCGCTGGCTGCAGGGCAGAAAGGCGCGCGGACTGCAGGGCAGGACGGCGCGCAGGCTGCAGGGCAGGGCGGCGCGCAGGCAGAGATCAGGGCATGGCAGAGCGCAAGCAGGGCAGCGTCTGGGTCGCGCGCTAGGCAGCAAGTGGGCAGCGCGATGGGCAGGGCAGAGCGCGTGGGACAGCACAGGCAGGGCATCGTGATGAACGCTGTTCGGGCAGGGCAGTACTGGCAGTTCTAAAAAAATAGCGTTGAGCCTTAACGGAGCGGTCATACAGAGGATGGACCTGCACTGAATACCATGTCAGAAATAGCACGTAGGTGTTGGAAACAATCGATCTTAAATGCCTCTGTCGTATCGAAACACCGAGACACAAGTGAAGCAAGATATATCGGAGCACCCGCGGAGGTCAACCCTCGGAGGTTGAAGTAACCGCTGGAGGTTACGCGAAATTCAAAGGTCAGCGACCTTTGACCTGACTAGTACAGCGCGACAGCAAGGACACACAACTGACTCGTTACAGAGCAGTTGCCCGAGTCATCACTGTATCGAACCGCAACAGCAACAGTAAAATAGTTATAACTGTATCTCTTCGTATTCCTTGTACTCTTATATAATCATGTATCTCCTTGCTTTAATTAATCTACTTTGCCCTCACATACTAGCGCAAGGTGGTTCACAAACTTTTCACTAAATGCTTCCGCTATTACAACAAGTTTCACTCAGAGTTCACCTCTTCAAAGATCCTAAGGGCTTTTCTCAGCCCAACATGGTATGAGAGCTATCAGGGGGAATTCAACTACCAAGACACCTACAACATCAGAAGGCATGGCTACTCAGAAGGAAAGGAGTTCCTCTGATGGATCTTCCGGCACTACTCCTACTCCACCTCCTGCCTCTGGCCTACAGACAGAGGAAGGAACAGCAACAAGACCCAGGGCAACATCCACTAAGACTCCAGCAAATCATCTTACAGGCCTCGACCAGAGCATGATGGAAAAAAATTTCTCCTTCATGTCCTTCTACGAGCAACACCAGCAATCGGTACCTGCGCAGTCACACAACAGCAACAACAACAACGACGTGACTCCAATGAGCCTTGATGGTTCATCCTACGCACGTGGAAATCAACAGCAGCAACCTACCTTTGCTCCATACGAGCCCCAGCGCGGCTCCGTCAGCTTCATGCCACAACCTGCACCTGGACAAGAGAAGACACTGGATGCGCTACAAGTTCAATTGCAGTTCGCGCACGTCCTGAAGCTGCAGACGTCAAGACCTTTCGACGGAAAGGACTTCTTTACCTGGTCATTCGAGTTCGAGTTGATGATGGAAGGCGCGCAAATCCTCGGTTTCTTCGATGGATCCCTGCCATACCCAACAAACGGCACACAGTATGAGAAGCAGCAGTACACCTATCAGTCAATGATGGCGTACACAATCCTACTTAGGAATATCACCCCGACTCAGCTGCAGAATATACGGTCTTACCGGGGATACGGCAACTCCGCCGAACTCGCATACAGCCACCTGAAGAGCCTGTATCAAGCAACAGACACTGTAAATCAGAGTTGATTGATGGCGCAACTGACAACAGTCGAGATGAAACCAGGGGAAAAAGGAATGGCGTATATCAGACGCTGTCGCGAACTACGCGACAAACTCCTTCGATGTGGAGGTTCAATTTCCGAAGAAGCCTTCGTCACGGTCGTCATCACTGGACTTGGTCCCCATTGGCGTTCCACTCGAGCTATTCTCCGAGCTCACGGGAAGATCTCCGAAGCAGCACCATGCGCCGAAATTCATGCCGAGCAACAAGATATGGACCTGCAAGAAGAAAGACACAAGAAGAAGACATCAGCACCGAAATTTGCCCTTCACACTCAGCGACGCTACAACAACAACAACCGACAACAGCCAAAGCCCGTACCTCCATTCTGTCACATCTGCAAGACGTCAGGACATCCACGCACACACTGCCCAAATCGACAATAGTCAAATCCACCGCAACGACAACTTCGACCTTCAAGCAGCCAAGTGGCATCAACGCAGGCGAACCCTACAAGCCAGTCGCAGTCTTCAACGACACAATCTGCACAAGGAGCAAGAAATATCATCAGCTGCATGGCAAGGTTGTCAGACTCCTGCATCACTGAATCACCACCGTACTACTCACCAGAAGAACAACTTGAATAATCCCCTCCTCGTCGCGAGATACTACAGCCGAACCCGACATACGCAGCCATCGCCCAAAGCGAGCCATCCGGGACAGACACTTGGTTCTTGGACAGTTGCTATGGACAGCACATGTGCTCCTCGGGACGCTTCGTTCAACGAGAACACCAACTTCAACGCGAAGTTGTCATTACAGTCGCCAACAATCAGAACCTGCGCACACGACGACAAGGCATAGTTCAACTTCAGTCAAGGGAAACAAACGTTATACTGCAGATGTCAAAGGTACTAATCGCGGAGGGACTCGGCTACAACCTTCTAAGCGTCAGCCAGCTGATGGCAAAAGCCATTCACCTTGAAGCGGACAGCACCACCCAAGAATTCAAGTTATACCACGGAAGAGGAGGACTTTACATCGGGAAGGCAGTTCTGAAGAACAACGTCTTCGTTCTTGACTTCGTTCCAGACCTTGGCACCGCCGACAGCGACGGAATCGTCACCTTCACATCTTGGACGCACCCACCAGATCTTGACCCAGACTTCAGCCCTGAAGGATTTTGGTACTCACACACCATCCCTGAAGTAGAAAGAACAAGAGCGTTAGCGACAATTCAACATTCGGCAGCAGCAGAGACAAAATCGGGAGCAGCAGAGACAACATCAGGAGCAGCAGAGACAACATCGGGAGCGGCAGAGACAACATCGGCAGCAGCAGAGACAACATCAGCAGCAGCAGAGACAACATCGGCAGCAGCAGAGACAACATCAGCAGCAGCAGAGACAACATCGGCAGTAGCAGAGACAACATCAAGCAGCAGCAGAGACAACATCAGCAGCAGCAGAGACAACATCGGCAGCAGCAGAGACAACATCAGCAGCAGCAGAGACAACATCGGCAGCAGCAGAAACAACATCGGCAGCAGCGGCAACATCAACACCAATCGCTGGTCCTTCAACGGCACCGATCTTCACTGACGACACACCACCGACACCCGCGCAGCAGCTAAAACCGGCACCACGAGAAGTCCATCGAAGCGCCAACTTCACCGCCAGCTTCTATTCCAACTCCGACATGTATCGGCGTTCACCCGGACATCGCGCCACTGAAGGAACCTGGCACGCAAGAATGGGACACCCAAGTAACACGGTGTTAAACAACACGATAAGAGCAGGCGTACTCGACAAAGACTCTCTACTTCTAACTGATGGCAGAGAGCTTTAGCGAGCTCGTGGAACATGCTTCACCTGTCTCGAAGCTGACTTACCGCACCAACCGTTCGCGTCTCACCACAATCCAAGCGCACCAGCTTACGCACCACTCGAGAAGGTGTACAGCGACATCCTGTACAACCGCGAGCCCGGACAAAACGCCTACAACTACACCAGCACCTTCATCGACGCCGGTCGGGCACCTAAACCTCCCGAGCAAATACATGGCCTTCGAAGCCTTCGTTGCGTGGCTCCCAGTCGCGAAACGCGAATCGGACGTCAAACTAAAAATTCTAGTCAGACAGGGGAGGAGAATACACCTCAACGAGGTTCAAGGACTACTTGGCAGAAAGAGGAATCAAGCGACTCATCTCCCTTCCCTACGCTCACCAACAGCAGGGTGTAGCAGAAATGATGAACAGGACCCTCCAGAACACCATGCGAAAGCTGCTATGTGGCATGCACCTGCCCAACCACCAGTGGCCCGAAGCAATGGACCACGCTGTCATGCTTCACAACTTACTCTCGTCATCATCGCTCCCGAACAACGCATCACCGCATCTGCTGTGGACAGGAAAACTAGACAGCACAAAAATGTTAAGGGTCTTCGGCTGCATGGTACAGTACCGGCCCCCATCTGCACGAGCCGGTCGATTCTCTCAACGCGCACAGTGGGGACTACACCTGGGCATCGAAAAGCATTACAATGCATGGAAAATTTTCGACGTCGAGACAAAAGAGACAGTGGTAGCACGTGACGTCATTTTCTACGAAAACCTCACCCTCCGGTACTACCTTGCCAACTTGCAAGAAGAAAACCCCGATCGCTCCGCTGGCTTTCTTGGCACCCGAGCCTTCGCCTCGGCAGAAGATGAAGCTGACTGGGACGAGCAGAACGTGGATAGAGCCTCGGAAGAAGCCAGACCTCTCCCTTGCTGCTGGGTGGATGTTCCCAAGGGCGACAAAAATCCACGCGAAAGCATCAACGCCGAAGTCTTCTATCACTTCGCCGACGATGGTTACGTTACACCTGAACGGGTCAACACCAACGAAGCAGAACGCGTAGGGCCAAATTTCACACCTGACCCAGAAGCGGGAGACGAAGCAGTTTATCCCGCAGACACAACACTCCCTTGATACACACAGAGCGGACTCCAAATCCTTGGCCTCGTCACCGCAGTTCACGGAGCGGCCATTCCTAAAGAGCCTGCGACGGTTCAGCAGGCTCTGGGGGGGGAGCATAAGGAAAAATGGCGCGAAGCCATGGACAAGGAGCTGAAGGCACTGGAGGAACGCAACACGTGGAAAGTAGTTCCTATCGGCGTGACACGGAACAAAACAGTACTCACCGGGAAGTGGGTCTTCCGTGTGAAGACAAAGGCTGACGGCACCATCGACAAGTTTAAAGCTCGCTGGGTCGTACGCGGCTTCGACCAAGAACACGGACGCGACTTCACCAAGACCTTCGCCCCGGTTAGCCGACACACCTCGCTGCGAATCCTTCTCGCGATCGCCGCCATGAAGAAGAAAAAGCTACGACAAATCGACGTTGCAAATGCAATTCTCTACGCACCCGTTGACTCAGAAATCTTCGTCGAGTTACCGCACGGCTCCAACGGAGATCCTAATCAAGTCTGTCAGCTGCTGAAGTCGCTCTACGGCATCAAGCAAGCTCCGCGACTATGGCACCAATGTCAAATTATATGTTTGTTATTATATATCTCTAGGTTGTGTAGGGGTGATATCTTAGAGGGTACAACAATTTTCTCGACATTCTTGTACCCCCCCCCATACCAATGCATCATCCGTTTTTCCTCGCTAATCTTGAGATGGTATAGAGCAGGAAGCTTCCTAGGGCCCACCTCGAAAATTTTTCCTGCCCGGAGCGCACTTCGCGCCTAACCTAGTTGCGCCCCGTGCGCCTGTCCT